GCGCAGAGACGCAAAACAGCGCTGTGTTTGGAATGTTTTCTGTTGGCGAAATAACGCAAAAACAGCCAATATGGTGTCTAAAACGTAAGTCTCTTGATATTAGCTTATTGTTTATTGAACTGTTGTATAAAATCAATATCACATTTGTAACCATGCTGATTTAAAAAAAAAAACAGCACTCTTCGTGTGATATAAACTATATGAATTGATATAAATATATACATTTTCCAACCCCCTTATCTTGAATTATGTGATAATTCGTAACGCATATTAACAGACTGAATCATGCAATGAAAGAATGCACTCTAAATGCGCACAGTACAAAGTTAGTCTAACCAGACTACATCACGTCGCGTAGGCCATAGACATAATAAATACCTAGACGCCTCATTGGCCGCTCGACCGCACGTCAACATCGCCGCCATATTGGTGTGGGCAACTCTCATATCAGGACAGGCGAAAACATACCTGACTCGTCGGCAGCTTGGGAATCTACAAACCGTCGCACAATAATAAAAACAGATCTCAGGGTATTATCTTTCACAGGTAAGACTGAACAGTTGTTTCTGTATGTTTTTGGTCATTTTTAGCTTTATTTCGACAGCTTAATTAGCCACCAGTGTCAGACTATTAATAGCTAGTAAGCTGTGAAAGCTGAGACTTTATATGAAATCAAAGTTTAAATGAATTCTTAAGTTTTAACTTTATATTGTAGTTTATATCATAAAGTGTTATGAGCACAATATTTACAGTTATCACTTTGACAAGACAATGGATTAGGGATGGAGCTAAATCATCTCTCTTTAATTTCACTAACGTTACTTATTTACAAAGAGTAAGTTTATCATCACTTGATTATAAGGATTTCATAGCTTATCATAAATCTGTGGACTTATTATATATTTTTTCCCCCTTTTTAGCCAGTTGCAAACAGTACAACGCAAGCCTTAAGGAAAGCTGAAGAAAGCCTGTTCTGTGCATTAGTTCTCTGAGAGTAGGCTATACTTCCACAGCCTAATGTTACTTGTACTACATATACTTTTTATTATTACATATCACTTTTACTGTGCACTGTATCAGTGCATAATAATTTACCGCTGTAACTGTAAGTTTTACTGGATCCATAAAGGATTATCAGTTGCATTTGTTATTGTTTGTTGTGGAGATTATCTGTATAGAGTGCTATCAAAATAAAAAGCTGACTACCAAGAGTGTCACTTTTTGATTTGTATTCGCTGGTTTTATTCAATTTTCTCAATGATGGTAAATTATTAGTGCTTAAAGATGTATTATTTAGATTTTCTTCCAGTATTTCAAAGGGAATGAGCTGTGTTCTGACCTGAACCACAAGAAAAGCTCAAATGTTGGGGTTGAAGACAGAGAAAGCAATGAAACAACTTAATTTCATTTAATGTACATTCAAATGACAAAACATGTATATGTCACAGTTATACTACATTAACATTAAAATTGTAAATTGAAAAAAATCAATCAAATCAACAAGTGAGACAAGTGTGAGTTTGCACAATTTCTTACGAAAATTAATAATTTTCCAAACCTAACTAAATAACTGGAGGCAGAGTTATTTTTAACTCCATGTAGATCACAAACCTCTGAAATCGGTTGAGAAATGTAAACGTTATCGTGTTTTTATCCAGAAAAAACCGCAGCTCCTCCGTTTACCTCCGTTATTTTTAAGGCAGTCTTGCCCTCACAAACATGGCGGACGCGTTGACGTATCGCAGCAATGGCTCAAAGCGCCCAATGAGGCGTCTAGGTATTTATTATGTCTATGGCGTAGGCCTATGCGTGTGGTTTTTGCAAAATACTCGATAATGTCATGATGTCTCACGAGTTCAGTATTTGCGCTAAACCTGCGCAGATTTGGCCTGCATGAACTTCCCAAAGAAATTAATGAGTGAACATAACTTATGAAAAGTAACCCGCCAAACTGGCTAGTGATTTGATAGCGTTACCTGCCACAGCTGATTTTTACCCGCATTTGGTGGGTTGGCGGGTGTTAATTTCAAACCCTGTATATATATATATATATATATATATAAGTTATGCCATTTTACAAACATATATAATGTTTGTAAAATGGTACAGCTTTTTAAGTATCTGAAAGTACACTCTTAATATCAGTCAGTCAAGCAATATAATATGATAATCAAGTATTATTTAATAATAGAAGTTTAGTAATTAGAATTAAAACTTGGTAACCATGAACTTAGGACTGGTGCTGGTGCTTTTTTTTGGTCATTCAGTGTTCCTGTAAAAATAAAAAGACCATTAATACTGATAAGATGATATTATTATACGAATTCTACTAATAAGAACAATATAAAAACGCACTAAGGATTAATGAGTTACTGGATTCATGAATATTAATCAGGTTGTGTGCGTTTGCTCGAACTGATTCGCTGAAATCAAAACAGGGACGATAATAGGCGAGCGCCAGCCAATGAGTTTGTTGTTTGCGCATTAGTTCCGCCTACTACAGGAAAACCCGGCAGTTCTTAAAAGCTGAAGAATTCCAAAGGAACTCTGTTATTTTTTACAGGAAAATACAACAAAGTATATCGTTTACATGTAGCGCATCAATTCTGCATGTTATGCAAGACTCTCGCTCTTTGCCCGTGTGAGAGAAAGCGACGGCGAGTCGTGCACCTTCACACTAGAGTTTACATTACGCCAAACACACACACACAGGTGCGCTGCGCATCCATTCAAATGAACTGAAAAATATCACAGATCGCTTGATGGAGAGTGAAACTCTGAAGCGCTCAGTCAGAGTGTTCTGTGAGTGAAAATATATCTGTGCTAATCATATACTCAGCCTCCAACTCACACACTGGCGAGTAAAATCTGAGAATGTATTAGCCATTGGCTGATATTAGACATCATTTAGTCACCCAGAGTGAAGATTTAGTCGCATATGCGAGTGATTTACTCGCACTGTAGAGGGTTGCTCAGGTGTGACATTCTACTAGCACGTGAAAACACTTCTCGTGTCTCATGAAATCATTCCTGTGTGCTTGTATTAATGTAAAGCTGTTTGAAGGTTATATCAGGCTACGCTGTTTTTGCTTGACAGACCAGAAAGCTCACTGCAAGGCCATATGGCTCATATGCTGCTGCTTTTTTCTAATTTCTTTTTGGCACTTTTACTGTTATGGATACTAGAGAGAAATAGGCATCCCAAGGGCCGTGGGCCAGTGGACAGATGCCACCTCTTTGATATTATGGTGCCTACATACAGACTCAAACTCACATCGCCCACTAGAGCACAATGGTTTGGCAGAACATGTCAGCAAAATCAACTCTCTTTCATTTACTATGTTAAATTATGTTTGCATTTTAATATTTCTGGATTCAATTTTGATAGGCTAATTCAATTTTAATTTTAAAAGCATGTAAACATAGAAATCATAAAATGTTAGCAATTTATTTGATCTTTTACAATGTAATCAAATGAAAAAAGCCTTAAATAGTAATAAATAGTAATACATGTCTGTCATAATTTATTTCAAGTATTTATTTTGGCAGTGTGTAGTGAAAACTTTATTTAAAGGGGATGTCAAATGCTATTTCATACATTCTGAGTTATTTACACTGTTCAAGAGTTAGATTCTCATGCAAAAAGTTTAAAAAAAATTAGTTGGATGTATGATGGGGTATTTCTAAAGATTTTTTTGGGGCATTTTGCCTTTATTTAGATAGGACAATGTAATGACAGGAAGCGAAGTGGGAGAGAGAGTGGGGGCAGAATCAGGAAAGGTCCACAAGCCGGGATTCGAACTCGGGCCATCAGTAGCACAACGACGCTTTATGTTGGCGCGCTAGCTTTCACAAGCTTTCTATATTCCATTTCTATTCTATCTCCTTGTTTTCTTTGTATGTGCATGTGTGTGTGTGTGTGTGTGTGTGTATATATACAGTGGGTACG